TGGGGGGCGCACATGCCCCATAACAAAAACCCCTCCAAAAAAAAAAAAAAAAAAAAAAAAAAAAAACCACACTCAGGGAGGTCTCCAAGCAGGAACAGGGAACCATCTGATGTGGGTTAGCCTTGCAGAGCATCTCATTTTACCACAGGCCATTGTCCCACACATTATGGTTACTTTGGGCTGAGGAAGTGCCCCTGACTTGCCTGATTTGTAAAAATACACAAATTAATTAACCACACATAATAAATTACCCTGAAATCTAGTCACTTAAAACAATAAACATTTACTGCCTCACAGGATCAGAATGCTGGGGCTGGCTATAAGTCCAAGGACTCAGCTCCTCTCCACATGCAGCTTTTACAAGGCTTCTTCAGTCACCTGACTACCAGAGCAAGTGACCCAGGAGAGCATGAGGAAGCCATGAAGCCCAACGTGAACTGCCTTGTGAGCCATACATTGTCAGCTCCATTGTGCTCTGAGTATCACACTGGCCACCTGGATTCAGCATGGGATAAAGTCACAGATGTCAAGGATCACTGGGGCCATCTTGGAGGCTGGTAGGAGTATCATGGACTTCTGCATGAGCTGCTGAAGTTTCTTGCTCCCAAGAAACCAGAATTCCCGGGGCAGTCCTAAATGTCTAGCAGAAAGCTACATCATTAGGTCCTTTTTTCTACATGACCGGAACCATGGGCTGAATATTTATGACATTCCAAAATTCATGTTGAAACCCTAATCCCCAATGTGATGGCATTTGGAGATGAGGCCTTTGGGATCTAATTAGGTCATAGGGGTGGATACCTCATTATGGAATTAGTACTTTTAGAGGAATAGAGAGGAGAAAGACTTTCTCTCTCTCTCTTTCTCTCTCTCTCTTGTTCTTCCTCTCACTCTCGCTCTCTCTCTATATATCTGGCCCCTTGCCATGTGAGGACACAATGGCAAGGTGATCATCTGCAAACCAGGAAAAATGGCCCTCACTGAAACCCAACTATGCTGGCACAATAACCTTGAACTTTCTTTCCATCCTTTAAAACTGTGAGAAATCAGTTTCCATTTTCTAAGTCATTCAGTCTATGGTACAGCCATGCATTGCTTAAGATACATTCTGAGATATGTATCATTAGGTAGTTTTGTCATTGTGTGAACATTATACAGTGTACTTACACAACTCTAAATGGTATAGCCTATATTCACTGAGACTATGTGGTTAGCCTATCGCTCCACCAGTGACTGAAACATTATGTGGCACAAATTCTGTATTCTTTTATATTAGCCTGACTGAGACCTCCTCTCTACTCTTGTTTCCTGGGAACTGCCCTTGAAGGGCGCACATGCCCCATAACAAAAACCCCTCCAAAAAAAAAAAAAAAAAAAAAAAAAAAAAACCACACTCAGGGAGGTCTCCAAGCAGGAACAGGGAACCATCTGATGTGGGTTAGCCTTGCAGAGCATCTCATTTTACCACAGGCCATTGTCCCACACATTATGGTTACTTTGGGCTGAGGAAGTGCCCCTGACTTGCCTGATTTGTAAAAATACACAAATTAATTAACCACACATAATAAATTACCCTGAAATCTAGTCACTTAAAACAATAAACATTTACTGCCTCACAGGATCAGAATGCTGGGGCTGGCTATAAGTCCAAGGACTCAGCTCCTCTCCACATGCAGCTTTTACAAGGCTTCTTCAGTCACCTGACTACCAGAGCAAGTGACCCAGGAGAGCATGAGGAAGCCATGAAGCCCAACGTGAACTGCCTTGTGAGCCATACATTGTCAGCTCCATTGTGCTCTGAGTATCACACTGGCCACCTGGATTCAGCATGGGATAAAGTCACAGATGTCAAGGATCACTGGGGCCATCTTGGAGGCTGGTAGGAGTATCATGGACTTCTGCATGAGCTGCTGAAGTTTCTTGCTCCCAAGAAACCAGAATTCCCGGGGCAGTCCTAAATGTCTAGCAGAAAGCTACATCATTAGGTCCTTTTTTCTACATGACCGGAACCATGGGCTGAATATTTATGACATTCCAAAATTCATGTTGAAACCCTAATCCCCAATGTGATGGCATTTGGAGATGAGGCCTTTGGGATCTAATTAGGTCATAGGGGTGGATACCTCATTATGGAATTAGTACTTTTAGAGGAATAGAGAGGAGAAAGACTTTCTCTCTCTCTCTCTCTCTTTCTCTCTCTCTTGTTCTTGCTCTCACTCTCGCTCTCTCTCTCTATATCTGGCCCCTTGCCATGTGAGGACACAATGGCAAGGTGATCATCTGCAAACCAGGAAAAATGGCCCTCACTGAAACCCAACTATGCTGGCACAATAACCTTGAACTTTCTTTCCATCCTTTAAAACTGTGAGAAATCAGTTTCTATTGTCTAAGTCATTCAGTCTATGGTACAGCCATGCATTGCTTAAGATACATTCTGAGATATGTATCATTAGGTAGTTTTGTCATTGTGTGAACATTATACAGTGTACTTACACAACTCTAAATGGTATAGCCTATATTCACTGAGACTATGTGGTTAGCCTATCGCTCCACCAGTGACTGAAACATTATGTGGCACAAATTCTGTATTCTTTTATATTAGCCTGACTGAGACCTCCTCTCTACTCTTGTTTCCTGGGAACTGCCCTTGAACATATAGCTACCATTGGAACCAACACATACTTGCATATCCCTAAATCCCTGTTGGTTCAAGAGTAGGCAATTGACCCAAAAGAAAGGAAGGTGTTTAAAATCATACCCCAGACTATATCTGATCCTTCCAAGAGTGAAATAGTTGGCACCAAGGACAAAGATGTAATTGTTTCCTGAGATTTATAACTAGAGGCCAAAACAAACAAACAAGAAAAATCTTCCTTCCTCTAATGGTTCAAGTATAGAATAGAAAATTTCTCCATGGAAGGAGCTAGACAATAACAAGAAGAAGGAAGCATCTGATTTGTAGGATAAAGCAGAGATTAATTAAGAAGATAGAAAGCTGAAACCTTGCCTCCAGGTGAGTCTATCTTCTTCTCACAGCCTGGTTTGTCTCCTCTACAACCACTTGGATTCTGAGAACTATTACCCTTTATGTACAAACACTAGTCTAACAGACTTGTAATAGTGCTCACACTACAACTGAATGT